TAGCTCTACATAAATGCCAAACACAGACACAGTACGAGAAAACCTGTTACACCACTTCTAAAATTTTAAATGCTGTTGTTGTACAAAGCAAAAAATAAATAAATAAATAACGTGCATATGAAAACACCACAAGAATTTTGTAATCCATACCGAATGAAACGCTAGTAACCTTTGGAGATCTTCGAATGAAAGGTACCTTCTAAGAGACCGATACCATTAGTATTATTTATTAAAGCATTTCAGGTTTTTAACAGATAAGAAGGAAAAGCCAAATGAAAAATGCAGTGGGTCTTTGGGGAATGCTGATGGCAAATTATTAATAGCAGCAAGAGTTAAAGCAGCTGCCTGGGTCCCTGTCTGGTTACAGTCGTATATGAATAAAATTAAGTAAGTGCCCTTCCGTTAGCTTTGTTAATTCTCTTTTAGAGATTTAATGTAGAGTTTCCTTTCAATAATTTACACAGTTGGTCTCACACTTCCCTCTGTCTGGAGAAGAGAAATCTGCTGCTCAATTTCAGTTTAGTATCGAGTCTCTCCCACTTCCTGTCTCTCATAAACAAACACCATGCTTCATGACTTGGGTTCATAAAGCCTTCAGGGAAAGGTTTAAATCCAGAGAAACTATTTTCACTGGAACGCAGACAAGAAATATCCTCCATGAAAACTTTTCTATTACTATTAAATTATGTTAAGCCATTTTTTTTTGGACCCAATTACCTGACAGTGACTTTTTAGTACAAGATGTATACAGCAATAACAGAAACCAGACGCCCTGTTGTGACTTCTATTGAAACTACACCTGTATCTGAAGTTGCCTAGAGTCAGTATAATAACGAGGGGCTTGTTGTTATTCAAGCCGCATCAGAATATTAGATGGATTAATACAAATCTTGGATTATGCGATTTCCTCTGAAAGGAAAATGTCATAAAAGAAGTTTCCAATTTGGCGTTAGAAATTGAAAACGGGGAGAAAAGACAGTGAAGTTGATCGCAGATGATGGGGATAAAAACCAAAGAAAGAAGATGAGATGAATGCGACACATTAATAGCACTGAAGAAGGCTTTAAAGGAATAAAGTCCCATAGCTAATGGTGACAGAGGGAGAAGGGGCTCTTTTGAAATGAAATTGTATGAAAGCAGATAACAGAAAACCGCAGACACGATTTTCCTGAAGTCAAAATACGATTAAATTCTTGCTTGCCTGTCCCTCTCTACATGAGAGGGTGTCATCGCTCTACTGTAGATGTGCATGGGGCAATGGATACTGAAATGGAGCTCAGAACAGCAGACTTGCACACCATAGGGATCTCTTTACACCACGAGGTAGGCTCAGGTCCTAATCTCACGGGCCACATCCAGAGAGAAGTGTGGGTGCTTGTTCCCCCAAAGACAAGTGGCAGCAACATGCCTTCTGCCACTGCTAGTTGTCTCTGGGGAATGCCCCTGCCATGTGCCCTCTGGTGCATGGCAGGTTACCCCGGGTGGGTTAGGGGAGGCTGGGGTCAGCAACTGTGCTGGTCCCAACAGCTTTACCTAGGGTCCTCCCAGGGCAGTTCAGCCATAGTAGGGAGCCTGGCTGGCATCTGGAAGATGGCTCCGGCTGGCCAGGCTCCAGTTTTGGGTGGCAACCACTGCCGCCGCATGCGCCACCCCGCTTTGTTCAGCTTGGGTTTTTTGGCCCCGGAGTCAAAAAAAAACCTCCATGCTGCTAGACAGCAGCATGGGGAATGCCTGCATGTATGGCGTGTGGTGTCCCCGATGGGTCCTCAGTGCCGCGTACAGGACGTCTGCGCTCATCTGGATGCGACCACAGTGAGCAACTCCTGGATGAACTCCTGCAAGGGGGACTCTGTTCACATAAGACACCTTTGAGGCCTTATGATGCTGATTAAATACCTGATCATTATATTTGGGCTGTGTTGGCATTGAGGTCCTGGTGCACAGGGAACTATGCAAATAGGAAAGAGAGGACTCGCATGGTCATTGTGAAAGGAACATTCGTAACATAGGAATTGCCCCAGTAGGTGAGATCAGTGGTTCCCCCATCCTAAATCTGACAGTGACCACTTCCAGATACTTCAGAAGAAAGTGGAAGAGTCCTCTAATGGGCAGTAGTGCACTATTGTCCCCATGAGAGTAGTTTGTGTTGACCCACAGGCCTTTGGTTATCCCAGGTCATGATGAATGATGGCTGATATCAGTAAAGGCATTTATCTTGGCCCCGTAAGTAGAGATGGTATTTATTCCTATGGATGCCTGACCTTCCTCCTTGATTCCACGCCTCTGGTGTTTTTTCTCAGGGTGCCAGAGGTGACATTTATGCTGTATTCAAACAATCTATACGTGTTAATCCTAAAAGAGTTGCCTTTTAATCTAGTAGGTGCCACCTAGTCCTCCTGAGAGCCCTTCCATATCACCCAGTCCGTGTTGCATTGTTTTGTAGCGGAGAGGACGTTTGCTTATAATACAGAGCTAATGAAAGGGAAGATAGTATAAAGCACTGGAATGAAGAGCTCTGGATGTGAGTCCTGTTTCTATCATATATTTTCTGTGGCTATTGGTTGGCAGAAGGTCAACAGTCTCTTCCTGCCTTCGAATCTATAAAGTTACATGAAGTGGATTTCACTCCTGGTGGGTCAATGGGGATGTATTGTGTTTCATGATGTTGAAGGAGGAGAAGATACTGGGAGTTGTAAAGACATCAGTGAAGTATGAAGCATCCCTCACCACACTCAGAATCATGAGCGATACTCTGTCTTTTGGACTAGAGCATGCTGAAGGAAAGCTGGTTCTTGTGCCCATGCTTAGGTGGGTTTAGGAGATCAGTCTTCATAGCAAGAGAAGCAAAGTACTTCTAAGGAAGGTAATTCTGGATCTTTGGAGGCTAGGCCTGTATTTCTTTTCAGACACCCACACCTTGTGGGTGGAAAGCAAAGGGGAGAATCTCATCTCATTCCATCTTTTACTGAAGTAGCCCTACAAAGTTTTTTCTTGTGTATTCATTACCAGAAGCTGCTTCTGAGGAATTAAAGTTGTCCTGTGCATTAGTGTGGAGGAGTGCCGTTAATTGCATCAGGAGATGGGATTAATTTTCTGATTTCCCAATCTGCTCTTTGTTGTGCTGCTCCATCTGTGACCTGGAATGCTGCTTTTTATATTAGATCAAATTAGAAAAACGGTGATCTATATATATTTTTTTCCCTCCTTTTCATAGAAGATCGGTGAATGGAATACGGAGCTTTTCAGCTCCAGGTCACTGTTTTGTAAGAAGCAAGGTCAATCACTCATCGCCATCTGTTTGTTAGGCTCTGCGAAATGAGTTGATGGTCTCAGTTCCATCTGTGGGTAGAGCTGATAGCCTTTCATATAATATAACTCCCCACGCAGGTGGCATTCTTGCTACCTTCAGCACAGGGCCTGAGGATTGAATGTTGTATGCCGAGTCGTCACAGGGTGAGCTGGCCCCTTCAAAGGACTGCAATTTCATCAAAAAACCCTCAGTCTGGAGGTAAAATTAGTCTCCAGCTGAGGGCCAGCTCATGTTGTGATGATGTGCTATAGGCATTACATCCAGAATATAGGTGAAGCACATCCAGAATATAGGTGCACCCTAACAGAAGCTTGAACTGCATCTTCCAGCGCTGGGTCTGACGTACGCATCTGGAAAATATCAGTCTCCAGGGTGATCAATCCATAGCCATAAAGACACCCAGCTTAGGTTCCTATTCAGCCTTGCTCCCTCGCAAATGATAGCATTTTACCTCATTCCAGTGGTGTATTCATGGACTAAATAACTACTCAGTGTAAGTGTGACAGAATCTAGCCATTAAGAAACACATAAATGTCTTTGGGTCAAATGTGAATTTTAATTTCGGAGGAACAGCGTTTGACATGTAATTTGTCAACTGACTCTTTGCAGAGGCTTGGGTACTGATTTTTAGCAGCCTTTTCTTTTACGCCTGAGCTAAAATGTGAGTTGATGGAGACAAAGAGTGCCTTTACCTTCGATCCATAAAGCTCCTTTCTTATTAAAATAGATTTTTAAATCCTTTATTTCCTCAGTCATGTTCACAAATTATCTTTTTGTTATAAAAATGTACCTCCCATTTGCAAGGTAGCCTTGCGTCTGCTTGGCACCTCCCACGGATCAAATATTCAGATGCATGGGAAGTCGATGCGCGAGTCAATTGTTCTCTTTCTGGAGCCTTTTCATATTTTAGATAGGCAATTGGAAATAGATCAGAATGATGAATGAAATAGAATTAATGATTCAAATCAGTCTTAGATTATTCTAACTGCTAATCAGGAAAGTCATCACCATGCCTGCAAATACAGCTATTTATTACGTTCTTCTTGTCCAGCAATATTGCACGTACCCCACACCCACACAATGTGGTACTGTTGTCCCCTTATTACGATAGATAAAGATTGACGATTTTGCAACAAACTTGGCTAATAGAATGGGGGCTTTTAGCTCTATCATTAATGACTTCTGCAGGAAGAAACTCCAGTCTTAGATTCATCGGAGGTGACTCATAAAGAGATGAGACATTACGGCTAAGTACGGACAGTCAAAAAGCCAGGGCTGAATTGAGTCGATCTTTGCAAGTTAGTCTAAACTGCTTAGATTGAGCCAGTAAGCAAGTGAACAGACATTCACTTTTGATTCTGGAAATGCAGTGGTATGCCTGCAATGGCCCAGGTCTGAAACTTGGGGGCTCTAGAGCATGCCTCCCTGCTCAGCTGGAGCAAACAGCTTGGGCCAGAGCTAGCCTGCCCACCCTGCAAGCAGAGGGTTGTGGGGGAGGTGCAAAGCATCCTGGGATGCTGGGGGACTGGGAATTAACTTGCGTTTCATGCATGCTATCTCTTGGAGACATGATGCTGTTATCAGCGAGGGTGATTGGATCCCATGTGAGTAATACTTTAATAGAAACCTCACAACAACAGAGGCTGTAAGAACCTTTTCTCCCCACTTTTTTTGTTTTACTTTCTTTCAGAAATTGACCAGGGGAGTTGCGGCGATCCCGGGGTGCCAGCCTACGGCAAGAGAGAAGGGTCAACGTTTCGCCATGGGGACACTTTGAAGTTTGAATGCCAGCCTGCCTTTGAGTTGAAGGGCCAGAAAACAATTACCTGCCAAAAGAGTAGCCAGTGGTCCGCTCAGAAACCAGTCTGTGTTTGTAAGTCAGTGAGGAGACTGCTTTAAAATGTTTGCAATGTCCAGTGAGGTAGCTACATAGATCATATATATTCATAGATCATATGTATTCACGCTGGATTTAGTTCCTGGAGCAGGGGTAATACTGGGGAGAGGAGGGATATTGCTAAGCTGCAAAAGTTGGATCAAATGTTGAAATACCCGCAGTGACTGGGGGGGGAGGTCTGTAATGCCGCAGAAGCTGAGTTTGAGTGTGGGTTCCCAATCTGATCTTGCTCTCTTCCAGGCCCCTGAAAAAAGGAAAAGAAACAAAACCCCTGTTTGAATTGGATTCTAGGACTTTGATTCAGGTTCATATTCAAAAGAAAATGGAATCTTCCCTGTCTCAAGAGTGGAGGGAAGAAATTAAATTAGATTCCACTTTTGGCCTTTTAAATTTTCCTTATTATCTGCCGGTTCTTTAAGGCCCCCTGCTTCACAGTCTCAGCCTTTAATTTGTTGCCTTGCATCTCAGCAAGAAATAGGGTATATTTCTCTCGGCATTGACTTAGGGGGAGACTTTCAAAGGAATAAATGAGAGTTGGGCATCCAATTTCCATTGGCTTATAATCTCTTTTGAATATCTCTCCTTTAATCCCTGGTGTTAGGCAACGATCTGAACCTTCACTCAAATATGCTGCACCCAATTCTTAATGAAGCTCACAAAATTGTGTGTGGGGGGCGGGGTGGTATTTAGGTTTCTCTGCAGCGCGGGGTAAGTGAAGCCATTTTTCTTATCTTTTACTCACTGAGCACTCTACGTCCAGAATGGCCAAACTGATTCTGTGTTCAGCAAGGAAACCGCATTTCCAAAAAGGGACAAATCAGTTAAATAAGAGGTTGATAAATGGAGCAGAGAGCATATAACAGCTGCAGGGGTAGTAGATCATGCAAAAGAGCAGACGTTTCCCTAATGGAAATTAAAAAAAATGCTTATTATAATGTGAATAAATGTATACACGTGTGCCCACACCCCCCGTATACCTCTATAAGCTGCTCACTTGTAGCTTCTGGTTTGGCTATGCAGCACATTCACAGCAGTATAACATACATTGGCCGGTATACTGATATATGTTACAGTGGTGTCTGGAGCAGACGGATCAGCATTCCTGAGATAATTGCCTCTGTGATAAGTAGTGTCTTAGCCCCTCTTCATTAAGACCAGGGAATTAATAGCGTTTTTGTTTTGAGGGGAGGGCTGGAATCGATTGGAAGTGGGGGGACACACACAACCTCTACACCAGTTTATAGCTACTCTTGACCTTCCAAAAGGTAACTTTGCTCTGGAGTAGAGTAACTTACTTCAGCATGGGGCTGAACTGGGGAGAAATCTGTCTGCTCCACATTTGCACCAGTGTAAATGCGTCACGTGCCTGCATGCTTCCATGGCAAACGCAAAGGTAGGGCAGGATGGCACTTAGAAACTATCTTGTTTCCACAACTAGTGAGCTTGCCAAAGGAGACAAGGGTCTTTCCACGACAGAGCCGTAACTCTGGAAATATTTCCAAAATTCAGAATAGCATCGCTTTCGCAGAAAATCTTGCTTCTCCAAGTATGTCATGCAAACCTACCTGGTGAGCTTTGAAATCATCCCTGGTGACAATTCACAGAGGCAGCTGTCACAAAATAGCAGCCCCAAAAAAGCAATCTTTCTTTGAAATGACAATGAAAATGTATGCTGTGTGCAAGAGTTGCAAAACTTGAAGCAAACTGCAAAATTTGCAAAGAGTTTTGAGAAGATTAAAGTGAGAACTCCTGGAGCTCATTTTTTGTGCTAGTCCTCAGCCTCATATTGTATTTTTTCCCCTAACTGTGAAGTCCAGATAGCTATTGAGTCTTGTAGATTCTTAACCAAACCTTCAGCTATCTCTGCGATTCCCCCGATACCAATTTATCATGATCATAAAGATGCCTGCTCTTTCTGTCCTGGGTTCTCAGAGCCAGATAACTCCATCAAACTGCTATTAGGGCTGAATTTTTTCCATTGTCAATCTAGTAAAGTTCGATTTTTCACGTATTCTGTCCATAGATACGGTTTATACTGTTGGTGGGGGAAGACTGGAGGGGCGGGGGTGGATGGCAGAGGAAGATTGATGAAAGACTGTGAATCCATTGGTTGAAATCATGCCCCAGCCTCTGCCTGCTATGATACAACCATGGATATTTATTCAGCAAAAGGCAACAAGTTTGGGTAATGCAAAAAAGCCTTGCTCCCTCCCTTTCACTGTCCCGCCTTTGCATTTGCTTACTCTGGATATCATTGTGCTAGTTTGCATCGGTTGGGAGAGGTGACACACCAAAAAGGTGTAAGATTTGTAACTCTGCGTGGAATCTGTACCAGGATTAGTGACAAGTCTGTGAATGCTGGGAGCATGTTAAGCATGCGGGGCCTTTGGTGGAAAAATAAGGTAACCTAATTTATGTGCTGCTAGTTGGAATATGCAAACAATTCAGTGCCTCCGATTCTGGCTGTGAACACATGACAAATGCAGAAGGAGATTAAACAGCATGCCATGGTGCGTCCTGCTGTCCCAACCAAATGATTTATGGGTTCATAGTATTTATTGTGGAGAATTCATTTCCTGGGGCTTCAGTGATGAGGCAACACCGAATGCTTAAAAAATGCAGCTGCTTTATGGCAACGGGTCCTTGAATCTGTGGCTGTCTGCGCCTTCACGATAACAGACCTTCCATCTTCATCGTTCTCACTGGTGTCATCACATTCCTTAATCATCCCTGCTGAGTGCACAGGGCCTTTGTGAAACTTTGCCAAACGGGCTCATGTATGCATTTTGCTGCTCTCTAATGGACGGGGCGTGTCTCAACTTCTTGGGTGTGGGTTGTTTGTATCTGACTGGCCGAGCGGAAACTAAATCTAAGACCTTATGTCTCTGTAGCTGGAATGGGTGAATGCAATTATCCATCCACATGTATGCTGCCAGCTGATATTTTTTGCCTGTATGTAGTATTGCTCCCATGATCATTACCAGACAATGAAGATTTCTCTCTCTCTCTCTCTCTCTCTTTTCTTCCTCCCTCTCTACTTTATAGCATCTCGTAGATCTCAAACCAGCTACATGGTTGTGGTTGTTCACCCTGACATACCATTCGCATTTTAGAAGCTGCAGGTTTGAAAAATCCATCTAGAGCTGGTGTTGGTTTAACAGCAGGGATACTCCACGTTGCATAGCTTAATATACCTGAGATCTTAACTTCCTTGTAGAGTTATGGTCATCCTTTTGGAGCTTAAAAGCAGTGAAACCGTGGTTCAGAGGAGTCCAAAGGTGAAACCTAGCATCTCAGGTGCAGGACTGTGTTAATTAGTTGGATAAGCTAATGCGTCTTGCTGCACTGATGGAATCGAATGTGTATATGAGGCAATCATCAAAGCGTGATCCTTCGTTATTGGTGAATGAGTAGATGAGCAGGCTTAAAAATGGGAAAGCAGCTCCATGGTAACAGAACTGTCACAAGGAGCAGATGAATTATTTGATACCACAATGACGAGTGTGGTTGAAACGGCTGGATAGCAAGGACAACTGAGTAGGCCATTTCAGTACTACCTCCGTTTATAAATGTGTGTCCGTATTGCTGCTTAAACCAAAGCCTTTCTGTTAGGAAAAATAGAGGGTTTGGTAATCTGTTACCTAATTTTTTTTGTAACTTGGCCATGCATTTCATACTATATTTATTTTGTCATGTGTAAGCTTCCCCCCTAGGGTGGCTGGAAGTTGCACTGAAAAATTCCCACAATTCTCTGTTCCAAAACTCTTTTGGTGTTCGCCTTCCCACAGTCCTGCTAAAATGCTTTAAACTAGATCCACAAGTCCTGATTCATCAGGCCTATGCCTATACATGAGTGAATTAATGGAGCCAAACTGAGTGGTGGTTTTATGTTGTAGACCGGAGGTTAGCATCCGGTCCATAGAGCCACTGGATCTGGCCTGCAGACATGAGGCTTTGGGGTTGGGGGGCCTCAGCTGCCGATAGTCTCCCCATGCTGCCATGAGAACAGGCAGCAGTGGTCACCTCCTAGCACCTGCCTTCTGCCTCTGATCTAGGGTGGGTCATTCCAGGCCACAGCCAGAAAAGGTTGCCAACCTCTGTTGTAGACAGTCATGGAAAAGCTGGAGTGACAAAGTAATGTCTTTTGAAACCAAGTCACAATGAGCCATGGCGATGCTTTTACTTTCCACTCATCCTCCTCTATCAGTCACACGGGTAAGTGGCTCGAGGGAAATATTTCCAAAACAGAATCACTTCCTGCGCAATCACTACTGGACCCGTCAAGTCTTGTGAAGGTGTAGACTGCATATATATAAAATACTGTGTGTGGTTTTGAATGGTTATCACCCTAGCTCCATCAAACAATCCTGGGGGCCATGCTTGATGGGTTTTGCATTGAACTGATGCAAAGTTGGTATAAGTTATGCATGGAACTCAGTGAAGAGTGGCATTTTGTATTAGAGGATCTGTCAGTTTTGGAGATATTTTAGGGACCTGCCAGAAAGCTTGGGTATGTGTCCAAAAACAAACTTCCCAAAATTTAGTTCTGATCTGAGGTTTTAGTTCAGGCCCTTCTCTGCTTTCCAGAATTTTTTGCTTAAGTTGTAGTTGGTGATGCCTGTACTGCAGTAATGCTTAGAAACCTCAGTCAAATACTGCGCTGGATACTGTTAGAAACACTCAACCGAAAGACCGTCCCACCATGTTGCTTTCATTCGCATCTTTTCTTTTTTCTTTTCTTTATTGTTTTCTTCTTCTTGGCTTCAGATCATGTAGTAACTTCCAACTAGGAGTCATAGTTCGAGATTTCAAGTTGGAAAGAACCTATTAGATTTAAGTAATTTTTTTTATTATTAATGAAGTTTCAGCCATCTGGAGTTGCAATGTGCTAGTTTGCAGCGGAACGTCATCTGGTTGTGTCATGGAGGTGGGTGGTTTTTTGGGCTGGTACAATAATTTACATTGTGTTATTTTGT